GATAGGTGTTTTCCCTTCCGAGGTAACTCTTTTTTTCAGACCTCCTCCCCAGTGGCCCGACTGGGACTGAAGTGACACTACGGACTGATTGGCCGGCTGAAATTACGGCTACTGCCTCCAATTGACAAGTAGAATCAGCTAGCGGGGGTTCCTGCATGTGCGACTCATTTTCATGCTAGATGCTGTTAAGTTAACATCTCTGTCTGTAGCATGGAGCTCCTGATTGGTGGAAACGGTAAGAGAGAGAGAGAGCTGTCATCAGAACTCTCGCCCCAGCGAGCTGCCAGACAGCTGCTCAGTGGGAGGAGAAAGCAGTGTGTAATTGTGTGTGTATGTTTGTGTCCTGCAGCTGCAGAGGACAGAGTTTTATGAGGACACACACAGCAAATTAATAAAACTATGTGGTTCAGAGTCTCTAATAGCAACACAGCTCATGCCCGTCTTTGTTTGTCTTATTATGGAGGACACAACTGACTTTCCCGCATGTCTTAAATGCCGCCCATGGGCTCGGGGATTTCCGCATTCCTGCGAAGTCCTTCGGAACTACAGTATATGTGAACACCACACCACCCGTTCGAGATCGAGCTGACGCTATCCTCCCCCAACCATACCAATGCTAATGCGCAAGCAGCAATTGTAGCCTCAACAGGCCTACCACTGGCCTGAGCCAGTGTCTAGCCAGTCACGGCCCTCTACGTTTGTTGGGCGGGGTTAGCACCAAAGCTGTAACAGAGAAAAACTATAAAGATGGTGTCAGCTCAGGAACGAGGTTTCTTTGAAATTTTCTTGGCATCAATTTTTGACTATTTAGACTTGGGCTTTTCTTTGAGTCAAGAGCAGACAGAGGTACATAAGTCATTAATTTAGAAAATGGATGCATTTGCTTTGTCTTTAAAGAGACAATGTGTAGTTTTTTCCATTCATTTCTGAAAATATACATCCATCAAAATGTTGTTGAAAATGAATGAAATGATGCCCAGTTGTTGAAAAATATTGGTGGCTTCGTAACATATAACCATAAAAATCTGGTCTAAAAACATGGGAGCAGGTTTAAGTCTCTGGGCAACACCATATTAGATGCCATGTTTCCTTCTATGGGAGCCCATGAGGACAAAATGCATTTACAGATTTGTAGCGGTTACAAAACTTTTGTCATTTTTAAATGTTGTTGTTTTACACATTCACCTATTCACTTGTTGCCAGTGATGAAAGGCAGTCTGATGTGTGCGTTATTTAGCTAAAGTTTTCACTCCCCAGGGCTTTTTGACCCTGATGGGCATCCGTTGATAAGGTCTTACTCCAACACAAAAATGCTGCTTGCTTGCAACTATTTAGGCATCCACTGCTCCCCATCACCAGGAAAAATACACACAGTCACTTTAACAGTGTATGGCAAACTGCCCCATTGACTGATTGCCATAGAAATGAACATGTCATGTTGTTTATTGCTCTGATTGGTCCTAGTGTTGTCCAGTTGCGTGCGAAGACAGTTTCAAAGACAACCATTGATTCCGCCCCATGACGATGTTTTTTAAATGGCTTACATATGTGTAAATGTACAGGATGCCAGGCTAGTGTCTTTGGCATCTGACCAGAATGCCTCCTGGTTACCTTGTTTATAGGTCTTCCAGGCACACCTCAGTGGGAGAATCCTCTGGGGCAAACTCAAAACTCCCTGGAAGAATTCTATTCTATAGTCTTGGAAATGCTTTGTGGTATCCAAAGAGGCAGCTGGGGTAATGGATGTTTGCTTCCCCTTTCTGGATCTGTGACCTTCACAACCAGTTGTGGGTACAGTGGTGGAAAATGGATTGAAACTTAATTTGATTATGCACCATTGCTTTTGCAGAAATGTTTCCAAAGCCTCTTCAGGGAGGACGAGCATCACCTTCTTGATTGATTTCCACAGAATCTCACATTTAAACAATCTGGCAACCCATTCTATATATATGTGAATATCTAGTCTGGCCACGACCCATTGTTTATCGGAGTGACTGCATGCTATTGGGCAACGTGACAAACTCACCGCTACAATCAGTCAACGGGGCAGTCGGCCATACACTGTTGAAGAAGACACAAGTACACTATTTTTCTACATAAATGACTTAAGTACCTCTATCTGCTCTTGGCTTGGTATGAACCCCGATCTCCCAGTCCCAGGGTGGACACTCTACCACTAAGCCACTGAAAAGTTGTTTTTCTGTTTGCATTAATATTATGTTTCTAGTGTTCCTAAACTTTGGCAGAAATATACAAAATAAGCGTCAAGTGACTGAGTTTAGGCAAACTTTTTTGTCCCTGTTTAAACATAAACCATGAAACACGTTTCTGTCATCAGTGAACTGTGCATGTTATCGCCGTTCTGATCACAAGGAGAGATGTCCTTGGATTTGTCAGATTAAAATCTGAAACATGTAACAGCTGCCAATCTCTTCCTCTTTTATTCCTCCTCTCCTTCCTCACCTTCTGTCCGCCCTTTAAACACTGTCAGCCATTTTCTTACTTTTAAATCCTCTTTTTTTATATCCAGCTGCTGCCCTCTATCTCAGCTTAGCCAAAAACTGCTCCTACAGACATTTCTGAAACTAAAATGCAGTATAATCCCCAACTTTTTTTTTGTACCATTTTAGTTTTTTCCCCAATGAGTCTTTCAGGAAGGGCAAAGAACAAAATGATCTTAGTAAGGTACCAAACAAAGGTTTTCAAATACTTTCTTTTTTACTTTAATTTGTTTATTTACTATTGCGCACATTTAAGCAGCAAATTATAACGTGCCATTCTCTTTATAGTAATATGAGAGGCCATGTCATGTTAACACACTTAGCATTAGCTACTTTAAGCTAGCAGGCTAACATATCAACAACAGACAGTAACGGGTGTCTTGATGACAAACTCACAGTGAAATCATGTCAAAAGAAGAAAGATAACCATTAAGTAAACACATCTTAAATGCGATCAGGCATACAGTGTGTCACGTTTAAATGTTCCAGGCAGAAATGGTCCTGTGATGTGTTCCTAGTCTTTCTAAAAGGAACAACATGGCAATCAATGGTATGATCAGTGTTGCCAACTGTTTTTGACTGAAAGTAGCTGAAGTTCCCCGCAAAAGTCGCTAGATGTCGCCAGATGATGTCACGTTCTAATTTGCGTATGACGCAGTGACGTCATCTAGTTTGCGTGATGACATCACCACGATGGCGTCATGACGTCACCGGTCTTGCAGAGTAAATCCAATAAAACCTGCGTGATTTTATTTAAAAAATTATTTATTTATTTTTTAATATTTTATTAAAATAAAAAAAAAACATAGAATACAAAACAGCAGCCTTTAAAACGTCAAGAAAAGATGGCACAAAAAAATGGAAGGAATATTTTTATTTTGTCTGAAGAGAACGGAACTCTTAAACACAAAAATATTAAATTGATAGGAATGTATGTATGATTGAATTAAAATGAATTTTCTCTTGTAGTTTTCAAGTGCCTTGAGATGTATTTTTCTGTTGTGATTCAGTGCTATATATTGACCTAACAGATTATATATATATATATATATATATATATATATATATATATATATATATATATATATATATATATATATATATATATATATATATATATATATATATGTTTTGGTTTTGTTGTTTTTAGTACTTTTGTGTAAAAAGAAGCAGGCCATATTTAGTACTCAGAAACGTCACATGCAAACTGCCAATGACCTGCCAATGACTTAAAGTATTATTCTGTTTTTTTATAAAAGTTTTAAACGTGCTACGTTATTGAACTCATCATAGAGTTCCAATGTTCCTTGAATGCACCACAAATGGTGCGAGAAGCCATGTGTGAAAGCAACGCTGCCTGCCAGTGCCAGCCGAGCTCAGCTGCCGAAATGCGGCAGGATGGCGGAAGGAACGGTCGCCCTTTATGTAGCTCGGCTGGCTATCTCAAATAATGGTCTTGTGAAAACCCACAAAAGGTTTGATTGGCCAATGGGGATAGCATGATCATGCTGCACGCACATTGGCAGATAATTTTCTTTCTGATCCTCTGGAAGGAAGGACGGTCCTGTCGCTTCAGATGCATCTCTAATCTGCAGGTAAAGTCAGCTACAAAGTTGAAGTCAAACTAGCTGAGGGGGGTCAGAAATGTCGCCAGATTTGTCGCTAGGCGCTTTTATGAGAAAAAAAGTCATTAAGGGGGTCTGAAAAGTCGCTAGAAATGGCGACAAAGTCGCTAAGTTGGCAACACAGGGTATGATCTCTGTGCTTTGGCAGACCATAAACCTGTTCTAATCCTCAACTCTCTGATATACTAAACCCAGGCTAACCCTAACCCTAAAACCCACCCACATAAAAGGAACAACAGACAGAATGAATAAAGCAGAAAATCCCTTACAGTTTTCCAGACTATGGTGAGTTGGTCTCCAAATTAGCAAAATAACTATTTTAAATGTCAGAAAGGAGTGACAAAATAAATGTCAGTGTAGTGATTGTTCTGTTTTATCAGAATATGTTCCATATTATAAATGTAGCTTTTTAAACATACACTTTATTATTTAAATTTTTTAAAATAAAATCTATCAAAAGCTTTTAAACTGTTCAAATATCATCACATTCCCTTTCCCCCTTTAATGTTCTTGGTTGTGTGTTGGTTTTTATTTCATTCTTTTCTACTTCCCAGTTTTTCCCCTGTTTTCGACTCATCTGGATAAGTAAATGTTAAAAAAAATTTCCCTCCCCTGTGCCGTGTTGAAAGGTGACGAATCGGTGTAAGCCTCATTTTCGCCGCTTCTTTTTATTACTACACACTAACCAAACCGCAGAGCTTTTCTTTATCACACAATTACGCCACTTTCTCCCAGTTTTAATGATTAATTCAGTTCATTTCTTTGGTTTATTGAGTCATGGCAGAACTTGTCTCTTCTGCTGTTTTCTGCCTTAATGAATGGGTTTTTGTCTTCACCTTTGACCTGTGGTACCCTTTTGGTCCTTCCTCTCTAGGTGATGCTGGCGGAGCGTAAAGCAACAGAGGAGCTGTACGCTATAAAGATCCTGAAGAAGGACGTTGTTATCCAGGATGACGACGTGGAGTGCGCCATGGTGGAGAAGAGGGTTCTGGCTCTGTCTGGAAAGCCCCCGTTTTTAACGCAGCTGCACTCCACCTTCCAGACTATGGTGAGTTGGTCAGCACGAACCCATATGATTTATATTTATAATAACACTTTTTGTGCTTTGCACGATTGCTTCCTTGTTTTTTTTAACAATTTCGAGACAAAAGGCAAATATTTTTTGTTACCCACTGAATATGGACCTCAGAGAGAAAATGTACAAATTATAAAACAACATTTCATTTATTTCTAAAGTCTTGGGTCATCCTAACCCTAACCCTCAATTTTAATTTAGGAATACCATGTACTAATCATTAACCCTTTAAGACCGCCGGTGCTCCTATTTGCATATTTGTGTTCAAATGCTTGTAGAAGAAGAAGAAAATATAATTTCTATAGCGCCTCTCAAGATAAAAATCACGAGGCGCTTCACAAAAACAAAAAATGTTAAAATATAAAAAAGAATTTAGAAAATGTTTAAAAATATATTTTAAAATGAGCAAAAAAATAGATAATTGTGATTAAAAAAATTTTAAGAAAGAGAGAGAGTGAATAGGAAAGAGGGAAATCAGTGGATCCTGAGGAAGGTGGAATAGGTGGGGAGAACAGAATAAAGAGAGAGAGGTGAAGAAGGTCATACAAAAGCCGGCTTGAACAAGTGAGTCTTCAGCTGCTTTTTAAAGGAGACCACTGAGTCCACTGATCAGGGACTCAGGGGGAGAGAGGTCCAGAGTCTGGGGGCCACAGCAGCAAATGATCTGTCACCTTTGGTCTTTAGCCTGGTGCTGCACAACCAGTAGGCTTTGATCACTGGACCTCAGGGACCTGCTGGGGGTGTAGGGACTAAGAAGATCACCAATGAAAGATGGTGCTTGTCCATGTAAGGCCCTATAGACCAGAACCAGGATCTTGAAATGAACCCTGAGGCTGACTGGCAGCCAGTGAAGCTGGAGGAGAAGCGGGGTGATGTGGGTGTGTTTGGAGGACTTGGTCAGAAGCCGAGCACAGGCATTCTGAACCACCTGTAGACGGTTCAGGGAGGTTCTGCTCAGACACGTGAAAAGAAAGTTACAGTAGTCTAAGCGTGAGGAGATGAAGGTGTGGAGAACTGTCTCAAGTTCAGAGCGGGACAGAATGGGACTCAGCTTAGCAACGTTCCTGAGATGGAAGAAGAAAGAGCGAACAAGAGAACCGACATGAGGATACAGGGTGAGAGCTGGGTCAAAGGTCACGCCAAGATTCCTGACAGAAGGTTTAGTGTGAGAAGCAAGCTGACCAAGAGAGTCTCTGACTTTGGGAACCAGCTTGTCTGGGGCACAGATGAGGATCTCAGTCTGATCTTCATTCAGGTGTAGAAAGCTCCCAGCCATCCAGGCTTTGATAGAGTCTAAGCAGGTGTGTAAATTTAAGTTCTGGCGAACTTGTTCTATGGCAGGTCTTAAAGGGTTAACTTTTTCAATGCAAGTTTCTATAAGACAGGAACTAAAATATGGTCTCACTAGTGACCTGCCAGTCAGATAGTTTTGCCTATTTATTTTTAAATGAGTTTTGCATTTTTACATAGCAATGCACCATGCTTATGGTTGTATCTTTAAACCATCAGCTGTTGCCCCAGAAAAGTGGAGGGAAGAATGGCAGCAGAGGAAAAGTTTACAGAAAGTAAACTCTTTACACACGTGTGATTTACAAAACTTTATAATTTACTTATGAATTCACATCACGGTTGTTAAGGTGCTCTTTTAGAATAACCCTTATAGCTGCATTATGACTCATGCCTGCTATGCATGTTCCACCAGGAACCATATCACTGTTTGTCCACAATTGCACCATGTGACGGGTCATTTTCTTAAATGATCCTCTAGAACTGTGCCAGTATGCATCTATTGGCATCTTCACATCTGACCTATCACGTTCTGGTATTGATAGCGGCCCGTCCCTGTGCGTTCACACAGCCTTCTCAGAAACGCAGATGTCTCCGAGCACATGGGCGGGGAAAAAGATGCACGGAGAAGTCAGCGGTGTCCTCCTGATGTTAGTAAACAATGGCGGACACGAGTGTTGCTTTTGGAGACTCTAATATGAGGAACACAGCTTCCTACTCTCTCCCTGTGTGCTCCTCACAGCAGTCTGTCCTGGCGCTGCCGCGGCTGGAGCGGTGGTTCTGAGCTGCAGCCAGAGAAGATGTTTACTCCACTTTTAAACGTTTGACCCATGTGTGAAACCAAAGTCCGGTCCTATAAGGGACCGAACCGACGCTAATGTGTAAGCGTCAATAATTAAGCTTCCAGGGCTGGGATGGGCCGACTTAGATGTGAAAGCCTCATTAGTGCCACAAATTCACTCCCCCGTTGCACGGTGTGGATGATGTGATGTCATGAAACAACCACGTTGGTGCATGCAGTCCCTACATCATGTACACGTAGACATTGTGTTCCACCCAGGGACCAGTACCATGATGGTAAACCACCACTATCCTAGAAATACCATTCATGCTCTGGCTGTATATTGTATTGAAGTCTTCATCCAGTTTAAGGGATGGTAAGTGGGTTCCTGCCAGGCGTGTCCACTCCCTCTGAGGGTTTCAACATGATGGAGGTGCGTGGAGCTGCGGTGAGTTAGCTCACAGCTGGAATACACAACCTGATTTCATGTTAGACTCCTACTCAGCTTGTGACGCATAATGTGTTACACCAAAGATGAGTCAACGAGGAGTAAATTTAGCTCTTCGGTTTCACTCGTAGCCATCGATACATGTCACTTCCCTTCACATGCTATACGCACTCGCTGATTTGTGATGCCTCATCAATTAGTTGGAGTTTGTGTTTAAAACTGGTTGAGCTGATCCGCACTCAAACACGCACACACACGCGCACACACACACACCAAAACCCATGCTTTCGTTCTTTTTTAAACACAGAAACAGTTTTGTTTACCTGTTTGTAGCTACGGTTTCGCCGACAGCTGCCGGCTTCTTCAGGCTGACGCTGAAGCTGCCGGCAGCTGTCGGCGAAACCGTAGCTACAAACAGGTAAACAAAACTGTTTCTGTGTTTAAAAAAGAACGAAAGCATGGATTTACAAAGACACAGCAAGAACACACCTAAGACACACCAAAACCTTTTAAATTCCCCTCAAAATGAACCTTGTTGCCAATTTCTGCAGATATCAGAAGACAAAAGGTTCTTAAATTGATGTAGCTGTTTCATCAGTGGAGAACCGATGAAAGGCTCTTAAAACAACCCAGGCACCTCTTTCTCTCGGTTCTCCACCTTCTTTTTACCCTCTGATTTTCACTCCTTGTATTTGTTTTTTAGCTTCTATCTCTTAGTCTTATCTCATGTGACATGTCCACCTCTTGATAACCCCTGTTACAATCATCCGTGTGCTTTCTGACCTGCCTTTCTGTGTCTCTCTGACCTATAGGACCGCTTGTACTTTGTCATGGAGTACATCAATGGTGGAGATCTAATGTATCAGATACAGCAGGCTGGCAAGTTCAAAGAGCCCCACGCTGTGTAAGTACACCCTATTCTTACCTCCACTGTAAAATCTCAAGTAGCTCCTGAAGTTGTTTCACAGTTCGGTGAGGATCTCCAGGTCTCATGATACAAGCCACCAACAGAGTGTTGTTTAGTTAGTTCCTAGAAGCTCAACACATCAGTACAAGGTGCGTGGTTTTTTGTTGTGCTTCTTTTTGGCCGGACAGTGTGTGTGTGTGTGTGTGTGTGTGTGTGTGTGTGTATATATATAAATATATATATATATATATATATATATATGTATATATACAGTGGGGCAAAAAAGTATTTAGTCAGCCACCGATTGTGCAAGTTCTCCCACTTAAAATGATGACAGAGGTCAGTAATTTTCATCATAGGTACACTTCAACTGTGAGAGACAGAATGTGAAATAAAATCCATGAATTCACATGCAGGATTTTTAAAGAATTTATTTGTAAATCAGGGTGGAAAATAAGGATTTGGTCAATAACAAAAATTCAACTCAATACTTTGTAACAACCTTTGTTGGCAATAACAGAGGTCAAACGATTACTATAGGTCTTTACCAGGTTTGCACACACAGTAGCTGGTATTTTGGCCCATTCCTCCATGCAGATCTTCTCGAGAGCAGTGATGTTTTGGGGCTGTCGCCGAGCAACACGGACTTTCAACTCCCTCCACAGATTTTCTATGGGGTTGAGGTCTGGAGACTGGCTAGGCCACTCCAGGACTTTCAAATGCTTCTTACGGAGCCACTCCTTTGTTGCCCGGGCGGTGTGTTTGGGATCATTGTCGTGTTGGAAGACCCAGCCACGCTTCATCTTCAAAGCTCTCACTGATGGATGGAGGTTTTGGCTCAGAATCTCACGATACATGGCCCCATTCATTCTGTCCTTAACACGGATCAGTCGTCCTGTCCTCTTAGCGGAAAAACAGCCCCAAAGCATGATGTTCCCACCCCCATGCTTCACAGTAGGTATGTTGTTCTTGGGATGCAACTCAGTATTCTTCTTCCTCCAAACTCGACGAGTTGAGTTTATACCAAAAAGTTCTACTTTGGTTTCATCTGACCACATGACATTCTCCCAATCCTCTGCTGTATCATCCGTGTGCTCTCTGGCAAACTTCAGACGGGCCTGGACATGCACTGGCTTCAGCAGCGGAACACGTCTGGCACTGCAGGATTTGATTCCCTGCCGTTGTAGTGTGTTACTGATGGTGACCTTTGTTACTGTGGTCCCAGCTCTCTGCAGGTCATTCACCAGGTCCCCCCGTGTGGTTCTGGGATTCTTGCTCACCGTTCTCATGATGATTTTGACCCCACGGGAGGAGATCTTGCGTGGAGCCCCAGATCGAGGGAGATTATCAGTGGTCTTGTATGTCTTCCATTTTCTGATAATTGCTCCCACAGTTGATTTTTTTCACACCAAGCTGCTTGCCTATTGTAGATTCACTCTTCCCAGTCTGGTGCAGGTCTAGAATTCTTTTCCTGGTGTCCTTCGAAAGCTCTTTGGTCTTGGCCATAGTGGAGTTTGGAGTCTGACTGTTTGAGGCTGTGGACAGGTGTCTTTTATACAGATAATGAGTTCAAACAGGTGCCATTAATACAGGTAACGAGTGGAGGACAGAAAAGCTTCTTAAAGAAGACGTTAGAGGTCTGTGAGAGCCAGAGATTTTCCTTTTTGAAGTGACCAAATACTTATTTTCCACCCTGATTTACAAATAAATTCTTTAAAAATCCTGCCATGTGAATTCATGGATTTTTTTTCACATTCTGTCTCTCACAGTTGAAGTGTATCTATGATGTAAATTACTGACCTCTGTCATCATTTTAAGTGGGAGAACTTGCACAATCGGTGGCTGACTAAATACTTTATAACAACATTAAAAAAGTCAGTCATCAAACATATGCATATTTTTCTCTACACCTTTGGGGCACCTTTCAACATCTTTTATGCACACACTCTCCAAACACACCGATTGTACAGGACAACGCAAACGCAGCTGTGTGGTCAGTCTGTGGAGACCTCTCACGTTGATCTTATCAGCTGTTCTCTGGCTCTGAGAAGACAGCCCTGACCTTTAAACTGACACACACACACACACACACACACACACACACACACACACACACACACACACACACACACACACACACACTAATTACCCCTGTGCTGTCCTTTCTCTCAGTCTCCCTCTAATTGGCGTTTGTGTGTGTTGGTTCTGTAGATTCTACGCTGCTGAGATAGCCATCGGCCTGTTTTTCCTTCATCAAAAGGGCATCATATACAGGTAACTTTTGCACTGAGCATAATGAATATGTAGCAAAACCAGCAAATCAAAGCTAGGATCACATTTAAAGGCAGCTCACTTGTTGTAAAACGAAGTTGAGGTCTTCTACGTGAGAAGAAAGAAGGATCGATGTGGTCCACCACCATAACTTTTACAGGTCTACATCAGGCCTGGTTTTGTGCAACGAGAGAATCTGCAGTTTGTTTAAAGCTACAATGGCAAGTCTGCAAAACAAGCTAGCTTAAATAAGTTTTTCTCAAATTTCCTAACAACCTTCCAACACAGTATAGCTACTGTCAGGTCCATAAATATTGGGACATCGACACAATGCTAACATTTTTGGCTCTATACACCACCACAGTGGACATCAAATGAAACGAACAAGATGTGCTTTAACTGCAGACTGTCAGCTTTTATTTGAGGGTATTTACATCCAAATCAGGTGAACGGTGTAGGAATTACAAGTTTGCATATGTGCCTCCCACTTGTTAAGGGACCTAAAGTAATGGGACAATTGGCTTCTCAGCTGTTCCATGGCCAGGTGTGTGTTATTCCCTCATTATCCCAATTACAATGAGCAGATAAAAGGTCCAGAGTTCATTTCAAGTGTGCTATTTGCATTTGGAATCTGTTGCTGTCAACTGTCAAGATGAGATCCAAAGAGCTGTCACTATCAGTGAAGCAAGCCATCATTAGGCTGAAAAAACAAAAGAACCCTATCAGAGAGATGGCCAAAACATTAGGCATGGCCAAAACAACAGTTTGGAACATTCTCAAAAAGAAGGAACGCACCGGTGAGCTCAGCAACACCAAAAGACCCGGAAGACCACGGAAAACAACTGTGGTGGATGACCGAAGAATCCTTTCCCTGGTGAAGAAAACACCCTTCACAACAGTTGGCCAGATCAAGAACACTCTCCAGGAGGTAGGTGTATCTGTGTCAAAGTCAACAATCAAGAGAAGACTCCACCAGTGTGAATACAGAGGGTTCACCACAAGATGTAAACCATTGGTGAGCCTCAAAAACAGGAAGGCCAGATTAGAGTTTGCCAAACAACATCTAAAAAAGCCTTCACAGTTCTGGAACAACATCCTATGGACAGATGAGACCAAGATCAACTTGTACCAGAGTGATGGGAAGAGAAGAGTATGGAGACGGAAAGGAACTGCTCATGATCCGAAGCATACCACCTCATCAGTGAAGCATGGTGCTGGAAGTGTCATGGCGTGGGCATGTGTGGCTGCCAGTGGAACTGGTTCTCTTTATTTATTGATGATGTGACTGCTGACAAAAGCAGCACGATGAATTCTGAAGTGTTTCGGGCAATATTATCTGCTCACATTCAGCCAAATGCCTCAGAACTCATTGGGCGGCGCTTCACAGTGCAGATGGACAATGACCCAAAGCATACTGCAAAAGAAACCAAAGAGTTTTTGAAGTGAAAGAAGTGGACTGGTTTGCAATGGCCAAGTCAGTCACCTGACCTGAATCCGATTGAGCATGCATTTCACTTGCTGAAGACAAAACTGAAGGGAACATGCCCCAAGAACAAGCAGGAACTGAAGACTGTTGCAGTAGAGGCCTGGCAGAGCATCACCAGGGATGAAACCCAACGTCTGGTGATGTCTGTGTGTTCCAGACTTCAGGCTGTAATTGACTGCAAAGGATTTATAACCAAGTATTGAAATGTATAAGTTTGATTTATGGTTCTTATTCTGTCCCGTTTCTTTTGGTCCCTTAACAAGTGGGAGGCACATATGCAAACTGTTGTAATTCCTACACCGTTCACCTGATTTGGATGTAAATACCCTCAAATAAAAGCTGACAGTCTGCAGTTAAAGCACATTTTGTTTGTTTCCTTTGATATCCATGGTGGTGGTGTATAGAGCCAAAAATGTTAGCATTGTGTCGATGTCCCAATATTTATGGACCTGACTAAATCGGGGCGTAAACTCCAGTCCTCAAGGGCCAGTATCCTGCATCTTTTTGTTGTTTCCCTGTTCCAACACAGTTGATTCACCCATGCAGCAGCTCACCAAGCTCTCCAGAGGCCTGTTAAAACCTGCTGATTGAAACCAGGTGTGTTGAAGCAGGGAAAACACTAAAACATGTGGGACAGCGGCCTTTGAGCACCAGAGTTTGACACCTGTGTACTAGATCTAAAAGCGAAGGCCACTTGTAGTCAACAGCTGTCGGAGCTCTTCTAGTTTGAAGAATGATTCTCTCATGTGAGTTAAGCTAACAGCAAAGAGCATTCAACAACATAGAAATGCTAAAAGACATAGCTAATTGTAACACTTTTTTCATCTTTGGTGTGTTCTTGCTGTGTTGAAATTCTAATTCCATCTTTTAGTTCTTTTTAAAACACAAAAAGGTTTTATTTACAACGCTTCGTTTGCGGCCGCAAACGAAGCGTTGTAAATAAAACCTTTTTGTGTTTTAAAAAGAACTAAAAGATGGAATTGTAACACTGTTTTAAAGAAGACCAAATGTCCGCTCCCTGTTGCTGTTTACAGATGATTTAGCTGTGGCATTGCAGGAGTGCATTGTTTCAGGAATGTTGAGAGCACAAGTCATTCTTATCTGTGGGGATGAGCTTTAGATAACAACCAAAAGAACAATATTGCAAATTCAAGTGGCCAAACTGAGTTTCCTATGCAGGGTGCTTGCTGAGCCTTAAGCTGTTTTTACAGGACCATAGCGTTTGCAAAACGGCATTTGCCGCGGCTCTGTGGGGAGGATAAAGGTCGTTTATAAGATCAGACCGTGGCGGTAATGTGGCGCAATTTTATATAAGATTAGGTGATGGCGGCATAAAGCGGGTATGGGGGCGGTGTCTCTGCGCTGCCGTAGACTTCCGTTTATCTTGGACATAACTTGCTTTTTATTGCGATTGAAGCCATGATCATTAAGTTTTTTTTAACTAGCAGCTCCTAAAGGTGTCTGTCCCCATCGGTCCCTGTGCAGTCTCTGGTGATCTGAGCTTCAGCAATAACAGAGGCTCATGGAGCGCTGCAGCGCTCCAGTTTGCCACCTCAGCTGATTTTGTTCAAAAAGCAAACCTTATTGCCTGTGTTTACTTTCATTTTCAATAAATTTGCCAGCCGGAGCTCAGCAATAACTCCCCACGTCAGACATCTGCCTCTGTTGCGCCAGGACGCAAACGACAGACCATTACTGCAATATTACTACCAAGTGAGGCGGAACGAATGCCGCAAAGTTCTCGCAACGCCATGCCGGCATGGCGCGTTTATAGACATACCATTGCGGTAATATTACGCCAATTTGTCAGCATGGTGTGTCTTATAAAAGAGGCTTTAGAGATAGGGTGAGGAACTTTTGAGCTGTAAACGAAGTCCACAATAATCAATGGTTTCACTGATCATGAACACCGACTCCACATCAGCCTTGCAAGATTTAGTAACCGGATTGTTGTCTCCTTTGATTTCCCATCCGTTTGGAGATAAAGCGTTTACTTCAACATTGTTTGATTGCTTTGCAGGGACTTGAAGCTGGACAATGTTATGCTGGACTGTGAAGGCCACATTAAGGTAGCAGACTTTGGTATGTGTAAAGAAAACATGACTGATGGAGTCACCACCAAGACGTTCTGTGGAACTCCAGACTACATAGCTCCAGAGGTATGTCAGGGGTGTTATCAGTGGCATCACTCTAAGATTGATGAAGGGTTTCTTTTGAAAGGGCTAGGGTGTTGTTTTTACTTGTTGTGAGTACGACTTTCTTTAACAAAGTTTCCACATTTCAGATCATTGCTTACCAACCTTATGGAAAATCTGTGGACTGGTGGGCTTTTGGAGTTTTGCTCTATGAGATGTTGGCCGGACAGGTTGGTCCTTGAGTGTCGTGTGTCATGTCATGTCACCTGATGGGATTGTTTCTTTTCTGGCTTGGAGTCTATCATTTCTCTGTGTATTTGTGTCTTCCTTGTTTTTGATTGTGAAGGGTTAGGGTTACTTGTTTTTCTGTCTTGGTAGTTTAAAAAAATAGCACAACATTTTCAACCTAAACTCAACTATATGATAAAATTCAAACTATGATTTGACCTGAATCGATACATTCTGATGTGATGTGAAAGGACATATAATACGATGCAAAATGATGAGTTTAAGAGTTTGATATAATACGACATGACTATTGTGGTAGAAGTAGAAAAAGTCTAAAAAATTTGCTTCTTTTTATCTGAAAGTTTCTACCTCTTAACCCTCCCACTGTCCTAATGGATGTGACCCCGCGAAGGAAGATGACCATTGAGCAGGGTTGATGGTTTATCCCTTGGGTCCATGTGGCAGGGTGAGATGGTGCTTACTCCTCACCCCTGCTACATGGACCTCAAGGGATAAACCATCAATCCTGCTCAATGGTCAACTTTTCCTCACGGGGTCACCCAAAAAGACAGTGGGAGGGTTAAAAGCATCTCAGTCATGGGAATTATTTGCTTGACATTACATTTAGTCTGGTCTCAGTCTTTCATTAGCCGTGTGTCCATTGCTGGAACTTCAGGGTAACTCCTGGAAGTGGGAAATTGAGCGGGAGATGCGATGTCTGGGTTTTCTCAGCTGGTGTCTCCATTCAGATTCAGCCCTTTGAGGACTTTGCACACCAGCATGTGGCGACTGCCTAGGCAGTGAGTGATGTCACTGATCAGCGCCAAAAAGCGTCCACAGCAGTGGCGGCGCCAGGGGGGCGCTAGAGCTACCCCTGGATTAGTCATTGCACCCCCACAGCACCCCCAAGTAAATACTAGATTATTTTTATTTACAATTTAATTTTAATTTAACGTGTGGATGTGATAATATTTAACATACAAAACAAAAATAATCAGTAAATTATCAAAACAGGAAATTGATGTTAACCTTTGACCTCATTTTCCACCTGCGAACGAGTGAAAGGTAGAGCTGGTGGTAAAATGGATCGGTTTTTGTTGCCCGAATTTCCACGTGTTCAGTCAGAAACAAATGAATCTTTGGAAGTGATCTCAGACTCACAAAAACCTACGGATCTGGATGAAGAGAGTCAACCCTCAACCGCTGCAGCAGTCGAGGGTTTTGCCGCTGGAAATGCTAACACTAAAGTTAGCTAACCTTGCAACACTATAGATGGTTTTCTGTGTGGCTGTGTGTGTTTATGATTTCATGGAAAAGTCAGTGATTGTTCATATGTTTATGATGTATATTAATTATTGTTTCAGGTGTTGTTGAGGTTTTGTGCACGCATGTGTATCTGCTAGTGTTGAAGGTGTTTTAGAGAACAATAGGTACGCATGACCACTTCCTTCATAACACCCTCAATAAAAAGACTAGCTCCTTCATAGCACCTGCAGAAAAACATTTCTGGACCACAGTAACATTAAAAACATCAAAAGTTTTATTCTCTCGAAGTACGTCATAATTTAATCCATTCAGAGCACTAGGAGAACAGCTGTGTGATGTAAAATGTGGCATTCAAGTTCAGTTTTTCACGGCGCTCTGTGAGACAACAAGACACCGTGAGTTACGTCATTGTGGGAGAATTTCCTCGTGTTTTCCGATGTTGGAAGTTCAGTAACAGCAATTTTAAAGCAGTGCGATCTGTGCTTATTTTCTTTCTCTTCCATCGTGTTTCACAAGCAACTCTTCTAATTTTACAACTGCTGGATGTTTTGGATGGCATCTGCTGACATTACAACCAATCAGCATGGGTTACCAAAACTCCACTGGGTCATTCCGAGTACCTACCCCTGATTAGGAATTCAGAAAGTTCCTGAAAACAGCCCAGAAAATGGCCGTTTGGCCGGTCCGGTGAAGTGGAGACACGCCCATGTCGGGAAGTTCTTGTAAATTTACCCTAAAGTTCTGGTAGTGGGAATGCAGCTACTTACTCTGTCTGCTACCAAATGTTGTGGCAGCAGTGGGATGCAAACACACACTATTACCTCGTCTACCGGAGCATCAAATCCACAAGCTGGGTCTTTTACCTCATGACTGTGACACGATATGACATGAAAAATACAAAACAATGCAACATGATTCAGTGCCATATAAAATTCTTTACTGAAGAAATATGTTTAGTGCTTCACAAGTCTTAAAGTATTTGATTGAAACATCTGATTGCTCCATTTGAACTTTTTAATTTTGCCAAATCTTTATTTCGCATTTTGCTACAGCTGTAGCCTAAAGTTATCTTTTAACTGTAGAATTTAAATTCTTTGGTTGACTTTGCTCTCTTAAAAAACTTTTTGTATTCTTATTTTTCATTGATTTGGACCAAAATGCTTCTTGTTTCCTCTGCAGCCTCCATTCGATGGGGAGGATGAGGATGAGTTGTTTCAGTCCATAATGGAGCACCATGTCTCCTATCCAAAGTCATTGTCTAAGGAGGCTGTTGCCATATGTAAAGGAGTGAGTACACACACACACACACACACACACACACACACACACACTCACTCACTCACTCACTCACTCACTCACTCACTCACTCACTCACACACACACACACACACACACACACACACACACACTCAAGTCCCGTGTTTCAGGCTGAAACAGGGAGGGTATTAAATCTGTTTGAAGAAAGGAGAGGAGTAAGTGGGTAAGCTAAAGAAAAGATGACAGGAAGACAACAAAATGAGTTTCAGCATTAAAATGACAGAGAAACATGTTGACTGAAACAGCTGTCCAGTCCTTCCATCTTGTCCTACTTTCTGCCTAACTCCCATCCTTCTCTTGAACTCGTCTGTAAGCCGTTGTTGTGCTTTTTACAGTCCTCTATCTCTCGTGACACACACTCTGCATTGGTCTGATAGCTTGAGCCAGTGCTCGGTTAGCTGTAAAAAGTCCCCGTCAGAATAGACTGGCCGGCAACACGCCACGCTCCGACTCGTCCCGCCTGAATGAAACCGATGTTTGTTTGGAGGATCGGTGGAGCTGATTACTTCCACAAATGGAGTTGGTTCTCTCCGTCAAACCTCTGTCTCATCTTCTAACTCTAAGCTTCACTGACCACAACAAACAACACACACACACACACACACACACACTCTCTGTATGTAATGCATTGGTGATGAGAAGCATGAAGGTTCGCCTCTGTCCACCCCAGAGTTCATCCTGCACCACTCGTGTTGCTTCTTCAGTATTTTGCTGTCCACATTGAGCAGTGCATGTTCATAAGAAGAAAGGAGGTGTTAGGCCTAATCAGCTAAGCCTTCCCTGGAGTTTAGGAGCCAGCAAAATACTCTTGAAAATGTTCAGGTGCTGAATAGAAAGTGAATATCTAAACAGCAAAGTCCAACGTTCACAAATTAACTCATATTTTTGTTATTACTATGCGAAAAATAAATAAATAAAATGAGGATATTAATAAAATTTATGTGAAGGTTTTCTGAGTTTTTGATAGGTTTCTACTGGACGGGCAGGGGCAGATTTAGGAGTGAAGAAGATCCGGGGCTTAACACACACGCGCGCACACACACGTGACACACACTAGTCAACATCATATATATTTGTCTTGTACCACATAATTTTTAATCTGAAGCTACATATTAAGCATATTCAGGGCAGAATATTGTTCCTGTTAGTGTTTAGTGTGAGATGATAGTAAATATTCCCTTTCTTTCTCCAACAACTTTACCTGATAGTAAGCTAACTTTAGGCAAACCAGCAGCACAACAAATATTTTCAAATAAGACTCACAAACCTGAGTCAACACCAGTCTTATCAAAGCTGGGGTTCTGTCGCGGTACTTTTGGTCTAAAAAACGTCCTTATGTCCATCTTCACACATGTGTTTCAGGCAGAGACTGTAGAAGAAACCAGGCACTGCAGAAGAAGCCGGCTGCTGAAGGGCTTCTTCTTCAGTGGTGGAGGCTCAGGCAGGCTGTATACAAACTACTGCCAGCTGCTCCCTCTCTGTTGGACTTTGGTACTGCATGTCACTTCCACGTTTGAGATCCGGGGCTTTTCATTAAACATTCGGGGCTTGAGCCCAAGTAGCCGGGCCTAACGCCGCCCCTCCTTATATACCAAATTATGTATACCGTGCTGCTGCGGGCTGAGCTCCCCTGTCCCACTGGGAGGGTTTCAAACACCGCCATCACCTGCTGCAGCCTGTGGCGCGTTGCTGTGGGCCGGCTCCGGCCCAGGAATGAGCTCTCCCCACCCGCTGGGAGTTTGAAACACTGCCATCCTCTGCTGGTGACCGTGGTGCGCTGCTGCACATACCGCTGATGCAACAGCTAGTTGTTTATTCTGTTATTGTTGCCGGTACTTGTCTTGCAATGTGAAATGCTTGGTCTCAGATTTTGTAAGAAAAATAATAAAATTTCCCCCCCAAATATGACTTATAGTCCAGTGCGACTTATATATGTTTTTTCTTCTTCATTATACATTTTATGGCTGATGTGACTTATACTCCGGAAAATACGGTAATTATTGTGTAAAACAGTATTTACTGGAAATGATTAATAAAAACAAGAACTAGAATTGAACCTCAGTTACATGGTAATAATAGTTTAAAATGTCAGAAACAATAATACACTTTAACCCTCTGATGCATGAATTATGAAATCTTCAACCATGATTTTTTTAACAATTTTTTTCATTCATCTTTAGGTGTGAATGAAACAAATTTCAACAAATATTTTTGTAATATTCTGTTAATTTACAAATACTTTATTACATGTCCATCTCAGTGGACAGCGTGCATTCTGAACATGAAATATGGTGGCTTGCCTTACTGAAGTCCAAATGAAGGGGCTCACATGCAATAAAGTCTTCAACAGCTGTGCTTAATAGCAAAAATAAATAAATAACAATTTTGAGTACCTGTCCACTGTAGTGACCATTATGCATCAAAGGGTTAACTTACTATGTAATTACCATGTAAGTACTTAGTAATTAGGGGACTGTAAAAGGAAGCGTTACCAATGGTTTCTTAAAAAGTTGCCTAGTTTCTCTTTAGGATTCTGATTGGCTTAGGTTGCATGAAACTTTCTGTCTCGAGCTGCGTTTGGTTCAGGGGGGAGACGAAAACACACATACAGTACACCAAGCCTGAGTTATGTCTCCCACTGAACAAATTAAACAGTTCTTCCTCAACTGTAATGTAAATAATAACCTGTAACGTGCAAATGTTTAGAGCCTAAAAAGCTGCAGGCACAATTGTAGCTTAGTTTTACCCTAAACTGGCCGCTTCAACACACACAACTTTCCCTCCGAGAGAGAGCTCTCTGACAGCCGATGGCTCTTGTTCAATTTTCATCTTACAAGTTTGGTAATGGACCGGGCTGACACGGAATTGTTCGTCTTCATTCAGTGCGACAGTAACACAGGCAAAGTGTTAACAATGTTCATGCTGCATCAGCGGCTGAGAAGCGAGCTCACACGCAACAACACGCGTTAGCAAAAGAACAAGTAGGACAATTAAATTAGGCGATAACCTCTAGACAAGCACTTTTCATTGTACAACATGAACAACTGCATATGAATTACAATTCATAAATAATCAGGCTGGGGAAAAGGGGGATAGGGCAAGAACACTGGGAGGAGGGAGAGACAGATGGGCGTTTGGAGCATTTGCACATATGCGAACAATAAAGATGTGAGACACAGATAAAGAAACAAGAGAAACTACCAAATAGGAGCGGTTGTAATAATGATGAAAATGAGGGGTGCCATGTAGAAGTTCTCTTTCTTTTCCTTTTGTGTTCAGCTGATGACGAAGCATCCGGCTAAACGGCTGGGCTGCGGTCCAGAGGGGGAGCGAGACATCAGGGAGCACAGCTTCTTCCGCTACATGGACTGGGAAAAACTGGAGAACAAGGAGGTGCAGCCGCCTTTCAAGCCCAGAGCTGTAAGTTTGATGTACAGATCAAATCCAAGGAGTGCAAATAACCCAAAAATCCTCAATCGGACAGCATGACTCTACTTGGGGTGACAGACATTTAACTTTTCCTTCTTTTACTTAAAATTTCTCTGTTTCTTTTTTACATCTCTATTAATGTATACATCTTTTTGCTGTTACTGTGACATTCTGTCCTTTTCCTCTTTCCTGTTTGGCACAATGCATACAGGTAAGTCGAGACAACACGATGTTAATGCTAAAGGAGATGTGTCAATGAAAGTATAGGCCACCTTCACACTGGACCCAGTTAAAATGTCTGTCAGCCAGCTTGTCGATTGGTTTTGTGGGATTTTGGCAAGGTCTTAGAAGAAAATATAAAATGTGGTACATGTGATCGATCAGTGATGGATAGCAAGGTTGTGAGGGTTTGCTATTTTTTTAGCAGGTGTTCTAGGTCTAGCATGGCATCAGTGGGGATAGGGTATCCATGATGCTTGGCCTGATCCCACCTGTGTAGCTTGGTCATCAAGAGTTTGAAGCAGGGATGGCTTCATACCTTGGCTTGAACTCATTAAGCAACCAGTTGAAGATGGTCTTGGAGATGGAGCCAGACAGATGCCATGGCATGTTGTGATCGTGGGCATGTGTGGTGAGGATTTTATAGAAATGTGTTGGTTAAACATACAACAGCTTTTCTCAAAGTCTACACTTCAACAAGTCAATGACTAGTCAGTCTATTCCTCGCTCAGATGCGATCAAGCTACAATATTTCACAAGAGACATTTGGTTGTTCGTGGTTTTCCGTTAGTTTTTAAAATAATTATCAAGTTTTCAAATTTCATGTTTTACAGTGCACAAAGGCTTCACTTTCAAAGCCTAGAGAATCTCCACTAAGCGGTCCTGGACGGGTCGGAACGGGTCGTCGTGGCGCAGTATAAACCGATATGGGTTGGCGATACAGAACAGCGTTTAAAGAGAGCGTTGGGTTCTCACATGACAAGCGGGGTTAAACCTAAATGCGTGACGTTACGTCACACCAGTCTACCAAGCCATGTCAACACTTCCTGGCATCTTCTCACATTCCTGTACAAATAACGATAAAAAAAATGGGGAGACGGTAGCACAGGAGTTAAGTGCTCACCCCGTAATCGGAAGGTTGCAGGTTCGAGCCCCGCTCAGTCTGCCACTTTCGTTGTGTCCTTGGGCAAGACACTTAACCCACGTTGCCTGCTGGTGGTGGTCGGAGGGACTGGTGGCGCCAGTGCTCGGCAGTCTCGCCTCTGTCAGTGCGCCCCAGGGCAGCTGTGGCTACATTGTAGCTCATCCCCACCAGTGTGTGAATGTGTGGGTGAATGACTATTGTGTTGTAAAACGCCTTGGGGGGTTTCAAGAACTCTAGAAGGCGCTATATCAAATACAGGCCATTTACCATAAATACAACAGCTGTCTCTTGTTTTTTATTCTTGTTGCAAGCAGTGAGATTTTTCTGTTCCCAAGTCATTAAACTGTGTTGTGACACCGGGCAATCTGCCCTTGTCTCACCGCCCCGCCCTGGCTGTAAAGCTCCGCCCTAGCCACACCACTCTGCCCTAGCGATACCGCTTCACCTTAGCAGTACCGCTTTGCCTTAGCTGCACCACTCTACCTGAGCAGTGTAACTTCGCCTTAGCTGTATCACTTTGCCCTAGTCACATCGCTCTGCCCAAGTCATATAGCTCAGCCGTAGCCGCACCAGTCTGCCCTAGCTGTAGATCTCCACCCGAGCTTACCACTCTGCCCTAGACATTCTGCTTGTCCTAGCCCCATAGCTCTGCCCTAGCCGTATCACTCCACCCTAGCCGTATCACTCTGCCCTAGCCGTATCACTCTGCCCTAGCTGTATCACTCTGCCCTAGCTAAATCACTCCACCCGAGCTGTATCACTCCACCCTAGCTGTATCGCTCTGCCCTAGCCGCACCACTGTGCCCTAGCTGTATCACTCTGCCCTAGCTGAATCACTCCACCCTAGCTGTATCACTGTGCCCTAGCCATACCCACGTTGCCTTAGCCGTACCGCTTTGCCCTAGCTGCATTGCATTGCCCAGCCATACTGCTCCGCCCTAGCGTACCACTATGCCCTATCCATACCACTTCGCTTTAGCCATACCGCTGCACCCTAGCCATATCGTACCACTCCATTGTCCTTTGGACCTAAAACTGAAGGGGGCCCATGAATGGCACGGTCTGGGTTGGTTGCATGGCCAAGTTTTTCAACAGAAACTGGCTAAATAGCCTCCAGACCTGTCCCAGACCCCTCGTTAAAATCAAATCTTAATATTTACAAGCAAACTTTTAAGATCTGAGCTGATTTAACAACAGGGGATTTGTCTTCCACTAATAGTTCCAGATTGTTTATCACAAGTCACCTGAGATGGTTCAAGCATCTGACTAGGATGCATCCTAGTCACCTTCTTTTCGAGGTTTTCCTTTGGGATGACTAGACCCAGAAGCTTGCATATCCTCTCTGGCCTGGGAATGCCTGAGACCTTGACCTGGTATCTCTGCTGCCCATCCTTGGATAAGCAGTGGAAATGAACAGCAGCATTATGATTGCCTGCTGAGTTAAAGAGGTTAACCAAATTAGAAAAGATTCAGCCACATTTTCATAGGTCATGCAGAGCATGGTGGGGTCTAAATCCGGTGTTAAGGGGTCCCTACACTCTAAGAAATAAAACGTTGGATTTAATTGACAAAGTTAAGGCAATCTTTTCCACAAAACTTGGTCAATTAAACATAAATCAATATGGTTGTTGTCTGCAATTTCAATGGTGATGTATACCAGAAGTGAAATTGTTATATAAAAGCAACAGCTTTCCTTTCATTGTCACTATTTAACACCATTAATTTGAATTTAAACACTTTGTTCATTGTATTAACTGTATTGCTTTAGGTTCAATTGACAATATTAATTTTAATTTAATGGCACCATTTACATTGTGCTTTGGACCTAATTAATTTGATTAATTATGATTTAATGAATAGTTTCATCTATATGCTAAATGTTTAGGTATCATCAAAACAAGTCTAGAAAAATTCCTGAGTTGTCATCTATACATTGTAATTAGGTGTTTGGAACTTAAGAGGTCTTCAGCAAAAGGTCCAAAACTTAACTACAGTACAGGTGACAACTCAAGAACCGTTTTACACTTGCTCACATGTTACCATTTATAACATTCAAGATCCTTGACCTACAATAGAAAACTCTTTTACACCAAAGCTTACATAAAGTGTCAATGCAAAAAGATAAAAAAAAGGGTGCTGCACCAACAACTTTATTAACGATAAGCAAGGCAAAGCTTCTATAGGGAACAACACCGCATAAGGCAATATTAAATGGAGCAACATTGGAAGCAACATTTAAGTTTTAACAAAGTGACACTGTAGTGTGCCGTAGGATGCCGAATTCAATACATTTGATTATAGTCAGATCTGCAGATCTATCACAGCAATCCAATTACATAAAATACTTAAATGACACAAAAAGGTTAATCTGGACGATTTAGTCCCCAGTTCCAAAAATCAGATTCAGAACTATAACTTTGGTATTTCTAACAAAAAAAAAAAAAAAAAAATGCATGTAGCAAATCTCACAACATTCTTAATACTAGGCCCAAAAATCCAGCACTTCATTTGAGTACAGGTGACAACCTTTCACATTTTTGTGCACACATACTTTAACATTTATAAAACTCAATATCCTTGACCTGCAATGGAAACTTGGTACACCAGAGCTAAAACTAAGTATAAATACAAGAGAAAAAAATTGTGTTGCTTTAACAACTTGAACAATAGCTTTCAATGAGCCAAAGCTTAAACATGGAAAAAACACTGCATAATGCAACATTAAATGAAGTGCCTAAAACAAAATGTAAACATTTGAAACAACTTTCCAGTTTCAACCAAGTGACAGTGCAGTGTAGTACAGTTGTAGGTCTGCAATGGCTACAGTCTGCAGAATTACCACAGTAACTCAAACTGCAGAAATGTTAAAGTGAAACAACAACAACAACAAAAATCAATCTGGGTAATTTTGTCCCCAGTTTAAAAAAACTCAGTTTCTGAAATGTGTTTTCTTTTCCACAATCAAAAGAAAAATGGCATTCAGTAAATCTCTTAAACATTAAAAGTGCTGAAAAAATATTTACAAACAAGGATCAACATATATGTATTTATAAACTTTTAAACTGTAACATTTTTACTCTGCAAGAAAACAGAGCACTTATTTTGGGGGACATTTTTTTTTTAGAAGAGTCATTGTGTCTCCTTTTGGCAGAGTTTGTTCTTCAGCACTTGGATTTTGTTAGACAGTTTTTTGTCTTCCAGGCCCATGAGCACCTTCTGGAAGAACTCAAATGTGTAGCGAAGTGGCTTTGGGTAACTCAGATTGAGGCAGTAGATTAGCCCAAACAAAAGTGCACACCCGCTCGCCACATCGTGAAGATCCTGCAAGACGGTGCATCTCTCGATAATGATGCCAACATCTTCAAGGGAGTCATCAGGCTGTGCTCCTTCGTGGATTATTTTATAAACACCCAAATCCATCCTCTCGAGCTCATCAGCTTCCATCACGTTGCAATCCTGAAAAGGATAGAAATATATTAAATCTGTTGTATTTTGGTCATCGCAACATCTATCTATTCACTCCATTTTAGTTAAAATGGTACACACTACCCTAATTACACATATCCTTGAATGAGACTGAGAAGAACAGACCAAAGAAAGATGTGGATTTAAGACTATCACCAAATAAAGACCAAGAAGAAGATACATGAAACATGGAGAGGGCAGAAGGAGAATGCATCAATAATATTATCAATATTCTGCTGACCAGGGTTATTTTCTTTAGTTTCGCATAAAACAATTTAGGTGAATGGAAAGAAAATCCTAGTAGTTCCCATGCACTTTACTGTTGTAAGCTAATTTAAAGAAAACTGATTGCTGCCAGATCAGGAGAATACCTGGGCTTGTT